TGTTGTGTGCACTTGGGCGATGGGAACAGTCAGTTCCATGTCAGTTTTAGAATCACAAGTACATTGCGTCGTCTCTAGCTTTAATGATATTGGTTATCAACTAAATTTTTATCTTAAAATAACTGGATTAATTTTTAATTTTTAAATTTTTTTTAATTTTTTAAAAATATATTTGATTGATTTCTTACAGAGAGGAAGGGAGAGAGATAGAGAGTTAGGAACATCAATCAGCTGCCTCCTGCACACCTCCTACTGGGGACGTGCCCGCAACCAAGGTACACGCCCCTGACCAGAATCGAACCTGGGACCCTTGAGTCTGCAGGCTGTCGCTCTATCCACTGAGCCAAACCAGTTAGGGCTGGATTAATTTTTTAAAAGAAACTTAAAATTTTGAGCTTAAAATTCTGCAGTGTGCCAAAACCTGTTTGGCTCAGTGGATAGAGCGTCGGACTGCGAACTGAAGGGTCTTAGACTCTTTACATTAAACAGTGGTGGACAGCCCTGGCCACTTTTTCTCAGAGCACTGGCCCTCAGACCTCAGGGTCCCGGGTTTGATTCCTGGCCAAGGTCATGTACCTCGGTTGCGGGTGTGATCCCCAGCCCCAGTCAGGGCACATGTAGGAGGCAGCCAGTCAATGTGTCTCTCACATGGGTGTTTCTCTCCCCCTCCTCCTTCCCTCCCACTCTCTCTCTAAAGGCCACTGGAAGAAATATCCTCGGGTGAGGACTGAAAAAAGAAAAAGTGATGGGCATTTAGGGACATGAGGAATCTGACAGAGCCCGGCCAGAGGGTTCTACAGTCTCCCCTCCTTCCTGCCAGCCACACTGCTGCCAGGTGACCGAAAAGTGCCCGCCTCCTCAGCTCTGCCCAGCCAGGGCTTTTCCGAACAGGATCAGCCCTGGATGCGAGCTGAGCCCCACTCCGGGCCACAGCGGGTGCGGAAGGATACTGCTCACCTCCCCCAGCCCCTGCCCACGCAGGCATGTGGGTAGCTGCGTGTGGGAAGTAGAATCACGGCTCCCCAAAGACGTTTGGGTCCTGATCCCTGGAACCTGGGGAGATGTTATGTCGCATGAGAAGGGGGGATTAAGGTTGTTAATTGATTGACCTTGGATTATCTACGTAGCCCAATGGAATCTCAAAGGTCCTTACGTGAGGGAAGAGGAAGAAGGTGGGAGTGTCAGAGCTGGAAAGATAGCAGCAGAAAAAACAATCAGTTATTGACAACTTTTGTGATGGAAAGGGTCCACAGCCAGGGAATGCAGGCGCCTGGACTTGGGAAAAAGCAGCAAATGGGTTTTCCCTCCAGCCCAAGGAGACCCATTTTGGACTACTGACCTCTGGAACTGTAAGATAACAAACGTGTTGTTTAAAGCCACCAAGTTTGGAATAATGGTTAGAGCAGCAGCAGGAGACTATACAGCGGGTAATTTATTCTTCCCTCTCCTCCGGGGTAACAGGCAGAGCCCCCAGGACAGCCAGCCACAACTCTCTGACCCCCATCCGGGCGCTGGGAGGCAAAATTTCCTCTACTCTTAAAAGAAGCCTGAATACCGTCATGCGCCGTGTAACCACACTGCAGTCATCACAGGACCACACGTATGACAGCCATCCCACCCTAGGAATGTGTAAAGTATTACAGAAATACTTACCATTGTGTCACATTGCCTGCAGGCTTCAGCCCATCACGTGCTGCACAGGCTTAAAACGTAGGAGCCGCAGGGGAACAGAATCTGTCACCCCAACACAGGTCTCGTTGGCGTAAGGGTTATTTGAGGTTGGTTAATTTTAAGAGGTCCTACCTATCTCAGCGCCTGACACACGTCCAGTGAATTCCTTAAGGTCCCAAAGCCCAGAGTGTGTGCCCTCTGTACAGGAGACCACAGCAGGCCATGGGAAAGTCACTGGCTTGGGAGTCGGTCAGCAGTCACCCTCCTGGGTCACCCTCCTTCACGCTGCCCCCCCTCCCCCACCCATCCCCCTTGGGCACGTCCCTTAGCCATTCCAGACCTCCTGCCTGAAAAACGAAGATGTGATGGGTCAAGGCTCAGTAAACGTGGCTCATGCACATTAGTGAAAGCATGACTCCTGGCACTCTAATGCGATCTCCGCTCTTCCATAAGGGATTTCATTTCACCTCACACCAGCCCACAGAGAGCTGGAGCCCCCTTTTAACAGGTTGAACAAAAACAAACAAACAAACAAACAAACAGCAGGGAGGCCGGGGGTTTCTCCGCACCCGCCCGGCTGGGCGTCTGACCTTCGCCCCGCGCCCTGGGCGCGCGGCTGTGCCCGGTTCCCCGGTCCGGGCTGGGGGCGCAGTGCGGGGCTGGCGCCCGCGGAGACTACATTTCCCAGGAGGAGTTGCCCGCATCTCTGCGGCTCCGGGATCTTAAAGGGCTCGCGTTGGAGGGGAGGAGGGAGTTCCGCCTCCGCCGGGGGCAGCCCTTCCCGGGCCGGGTGGGGCCCTACAGAGGCCAAGTGCGGCCAGGCTAACCCGGAGGCAGCCTCGCCTCACCTGGCCTCCCTCGACCTCGGACTCTGCGCCCCACTCCGGGGCAACCCCTGCCGAGCCCGCCCCTCCTCCCAAATCTCCCCAGCAGGGGAGGTGGGCTGCCAGCCGGTGGAAAGCCCGGGCGACCCTCCCCTCCATTTCTGGCTCCGGTTCCGGGGGGGCGGGGGGGAGAGTTTGCAGGGCGCTGGGACGGGCAGGGATAGGGATGGGGCAGCTACAAAATCAAATCCAAGCCTGGGGTCGCCGGGAGCTGACCTTAACAGCGCGCCCCCCCTCACCCACCCGAAGGAGTCCCTCCGCCGCCCCGGAAAAATAGGGGTGACAGGGGCAGTGATCACGTTGTCTGTCTCCCCAGGCTGGAGGCGCAAAGGTTCAAAGTAACGGTGGAGAGCACTTTGCAAATTGTAGTGCGCCCTGAAAATAAAATTATTCCGTCATGATGGCACTGGATTGATCCATCGGTGCTGGTTCTAAGAGGTGCGCGGATGTGGGGGCGCAGGGTGACACGTCCCTGAAAGCGCAGGATGTTGGTGAACATCTGGGGGTGTCTTCATCTGGATACCTGTTTCCCCATCCAGATCTTGGGAGCCTGGAGAACTGCCTTTGAAAACAGCCAAAGCAAACCCACCAGAACGCTGTGTTTTCAAGTCAGGGAACTTCGGGGTCACTGACACCAAATAAGAACTTGGCCTTCGTCACGTCCCTCCCCACCTGTGCCACCAAGATCACCAGGCTTCAGAATGTCTCTGGCCTCCTCCTCCCCTCCCCCCTCCCCCAATCATTTGGATTAATCCATCCCTTGGTGTGGGGGGAACCCACTAATTTCCCTGGCCTCCGAGTCCTGCACGAGCCTTTCCCCCTCCCCGCATCCTCGCTAAGACCCCGTCCCGCACCTAAACCCTCCATCCCTCCCCCTTCCCTGCGCCACAGCCAAGGCTCCAGAGCAGGGCGCAGACCCGTTCTTTTCCGGGACCAGCTACCCCCCTCCCCCGCCCAGGGCATTGTTTGGGGTGAAGAGTGATGGGCCTCCGCTTAGGGAATGCCAGCGGGTCTGATGCGGGGAGGTGGCTCAGGCACCGGGCATCCCAGGATCCCAACCCAGGACCCTGCCCGAGTGGGAAATTAGACCCTGGGATGCCCAACGTCCGTCGCAAACCAGGGGCTCCGTCCCAGGCGTCCTGAGGGCCCCTCTGCTGGCCTCTGAGCCCCCACATGCCCCCAGAGCCCCTCCAGGCCCTCTGAGGCCGATGGCACCCCTCGCTGGCCTCGCCCATACCTGCCAGAGACGGGGAGAGATGTGTGCATTTTAACAAAGACACTGCATCCTCCCAGCAAAATGGCGGTGGTCCCGGCCCCGGCTCCCCGAGCGACCGCACACTTTCCGAGGGGGAGTGAGGACCACGGGCCGACCCCCTCCTCGCCCCCTTCTCCTCGCCCCGCTCCCCCGCGCCCCGCAGCTCGCAGCGCCTGGTCCCTGCAGGCGCCCCCAGGACCGGCTCTGCTTAGAGCCTGCGGGGCAGCCCCGGGGTCCTGGTCCTTCCGCCCCAGACCCCCCGGGCCTGGAGGGTTCCTGGGAGGGGGACTGCACCCCCAGGCTGGGCCCTGGGGTGGGGGCAACGGGCTCTGCCTCGGACACCCCAAAACCAGGCTGAGGGAGGCATATAAAAGAATTCCCGGTTAAGATCTATGGGAAGTGTGGGGGGCCTTGGAGGGGTGCAGGCGACTCGGAGGACCCCTCCTCACTGTCTCGGGGGGCCCTGGCAGCCCTGGGGGTTCGGCCTCCGGAGAGAACCCCCACCGCAGGGGTCAGGGGGCCCGCTGGGGGAGAGCCGATGGAGGAGGGGGAAGGGACAAAGTTTGAAAGTGCCCTTCCAACTCTTCCAGAGAAAGTTTGCTCAGGGGCCCCATGGGCAGAGATGGGGTAGAGGCGCGGGGGGCCCGGTCGCGGGATGACCCCCGAGAGGTGACCGGACCCCGGGGGAGCGACCCCTCCCCCCTGTCCCGGCTCGGCCCGGCTGGGAGTCGCCCGGCTCGGGGCCGCGTGTGTTAGTTGGGGTCGCTTTCCGGCCACACCGCCGGGCTGCGGGAGCCCGCAGCGGGCCGGGAGCGGGGTCCCCGGGAGCCCCAGGGTGGGGGCTTTGCTCCGGGGGGTTTCCCGCACCCGGGCTCCCCGGCTCCGCAGAGCCAGCCCCCCGCAAAGGGGAAATGTGCCGGCGCAGCAGCGGTCCTCGGCGCCGTTTGGGGCGCCTCGCGGGCTCGGGGGGCGGCGGCCAGGCCGGCGAGCCGCCTGGCGGGGGAGCCCAGGGAGCCGGGCAGCGACCCCGGGCGGCGGCGGGGAGCGGGGAGGCCCGGGGCGAGGGGAAAGGTCGGATTTGCTCGGCGGAAGAAACACAGATGGCGGCGGCGCAGCGCCATTCCGGGCCGGGAGCAGGCAGCCAGCAGCCCTGTCCTCACCGCGGTCCGCCCGCCGCCGCTAAATACCCGGATGCGCCGCCCGAGCGCCAGACGCGGAGCTGGGAAAAGAGAGGCAGCGGAGGCGGAGGCAGGACCAGAGCCGCAGCCGCCGCGCGCGCAGGGACAGACAGACAGACTGACCGACCGAGCGGCTGGCGGGGCCGAGCCACGCAGAACCGGCGCAGCGAGCTCTGCCTGCGCCCGAGCCCGGTCCCAGTTAACCCGGGTGCGAAAGCAGCCGCTCGTGACGCTCCCCTCGGCCTCCGACGGGGGCCGGCCCTTTTGAAGGCGCCTTCTCCAGCGGCGGGACCGGGCGGCCCACCATGACCGAGAACTCCACGTCGGCCCCTGCGGCCAAGCCCAAGCGGGCCAAGGCCTCCAAGAAGTCCACGGACCACCCCAAGTACTCGGACATGATCGTGGCCGCCATCCAGGCGGAGAAGAACCGCGCCGGCTCCTCGCGCCAGTCCATCCAGAAGTACATCAAGAGCCACTACAAGGTGGGCGAGAACGCCGACTCGCAGATCAAGTTGTCCATCAAGCGCCTGGTGACCACCGGGGTCCTCAAGCAGACCAAAGGCGTGGGCGCCTCGGGCTCCTTCCGCCTGGCCAGGGGCGACGAGCCCAAGCGGTCGGTGGCCTTCAAGAAGACCAAGAAGGAGGTCAAGAAGGTGGCCACGCCAAAGAAGGCGGCCAAGCCCAAGAAGGCGGCCGCCAAGGCCCCCAGCAAGAAGCCCAAAGCCACCCCGGTCAAGAAGGCCAAGAAGAAGGCGGCCGCCACGCCCAAGAAAGCCAAAAAGCCCAAGACTGTCAAAGCCAAGCCGGTCAAGGCATCCAAGCCGAAGAAGGCCAAGCCGGTGAAGCCCAAAGCCAAGTCCAGTGCCAAGCGGGCCGGCAAGAAGAAGTGACAATGAGGCTTTTCTTGGACACTCCTGCCTGCCTGCCTCCTGTTTTCTGTAAATACTTTCCTCCTTCCTTCTCTCTTAACGCCTCACCTGCACCCCTCGCCCCTTTCTATATTCTGACTTTATGTGAGACAATTCGGATTCCTTAGACATTAGGGAATAGTTCCTTTTTCCTTAACCAGTCGTGCAAGGACAGCAAAAAACTATCTCATCTCTGTAATGATGAGAATGTACTTATATTTTGTTCTGTTAATTTGTTATTAATCTACTTAGGGTTTGGGGAGGGTTTGTGTGTTTTGTTTAGGTGGATGGCTTGTTCGCTATGAAGGTAAATGGAGGATGGGGGGGGGTTGTTTTGGCTAGTTGAGAGGGAGGGAGCCCAGGAATGGTAAGGTTTGTAGGAATTATCTTTGAGACAAAGTGAGTTTTCTTTTAAGTTGAGCGGCCCTTGTGCGTTTCAGGACCTTGTTGGGAAGCAGGGGGTCGGCAGCCGCTGGACACCGGGTTAGGGAGGTGGGATAAGCCCTCTCCGGCAGACTGCCACCTCCCGGGCTGAGCAGGGGGGTGGGGATGGGGGTCCAAGTCCAGTTTCCTTCACTTGTGTGAGTCTGTCCCGGGGCTTCCTATTGTCCTGGGGGGGGGGGGGGGTGACAGCTGGTCTGAGAAGCTGTGGCTTCTCAGCTGGAAACTAGCCATGGGGGGGGGGGGGGGTCTTTGTGGCTTCGGAAAGCCTGTTGTTCGATGGAAACTTTGGGGTAAGGGTGGGGAGTCAGTCAGCCAAGTGCCTCAGTGTGCCCTGTCGAAACCTGGGTTTTTCCACACAATTGGATTGTGTTCCCGGTGTTTTGGTTCCTCCTGTACCAGAGGTGGCTTGGTGGTCTGGTGAGTCTCCAGCCCTGCCAGCGCCACACACGTCCGACCTCGTTGTTTCCGAGTCTTTTCTAGGTAGTGGGGGGCGGGGGCGGGGAGTGGACAGTAAGACATACCGCAGTGACTTTGAATCGCTCAGTAGTTCACAAGCTAGTCCGTGTCTGTGTAAATGTGTACATACCTCCTTAGGCTAGCGCTTAGGTCCACCGGGAGCGGGAGAAAAAACCTGTACAGTCTCTCAAAATAGGAAAAGGCGCAGTTCGCGTCCTATTCCCCCCCCCCACCTTTTGTAAAAAAACAAAACAAAAACCCACAAGTGTTATTTGTGCCGGGAAGAATTGCTGTCTTTGTAATTTTGAAACTTTAAAATAAAAATTTGGAAAAGGATAAAACCTGGGCGGTGTTTTCCTCACTTCTGACACTGGAGAAGGCGGAGCACTGGGCGGGGGAGTCCTGGGGGGATGTGGGGGCCTTCGCACCTGAGGGCGGAGGGAGGGTCCCAAGAGCTCCCCAAAACGGGAGTCTCGGGGCTGAGGGCACCGGGCGTGCCTCCGGCTGCTGCCCTGGGGTCCGGAGCGGTCCTCCCAGGGCTGGGCGTGTGGGCGGGCCGGGGGCCGGGGGCCGGGCTCCGGGCCCCGCCGCGTGGCCTCCCGCTTCAACTGGAGAGTCCGCTCCGCGCACCGCGCTGGCCCCGCCCACCGCCCCTGGGCCCGCCCTCCCGCCCCTCGAGGGCGCTCTCGTCGCTCCGATTGGCTGTCCGGGTCCGGCCCCCGCCACGTGACGCGGCCGCGGTGTGCTGGGCTCCGGCGGCGCGCTCGCGGGCAGGCGAAGTGGCGCGATGTGGGCCGTGTCCGCGCTCGGCGCCGCGCTCTCCCGGGACCCCGGCCGCCGCGCGCACTCCGCGCTGAGCCGGCTGCGTGGCATCCTGGAGGGGGAGCTGGACAGCATCCGCGGGGCCGGCACCTGGAAGAGCGAGCGGGTCATCACGTCGCGTCAGGGGCCGCGCATCCGCGTCTCCGGCGTCTCCGGAGGTAACTCCCCTCCCAGGCGTTGGGCGTGGGCGGCTGTTGAAAAGGCCGTTGCGAGGCCTTGGCTGGAGGTCCTGCGCTCGTAGCCGCGGGTCCCTTTTCCAGCTATCACACTCAGTGTTTGTTCTGGCTGAACCTGTTTCCACAAAGGGAGGCGATTTGCCCTTGAGCACTTGTTTGACTCGGAGGGCAGAGGGGGCCCTGGAAGACTGTGGGAAAAGAGACGTGCCCACCTGGGACCCCAGCTGCTTCGAGGAAGGGTGATGGGAAGGTGAAACGAGAAACCTGGCATTGCTAGTCAGAGCTGCACGTGACTTCTGTAAACTTCTCCGCTTTACACTAAAAAAGCCCAGGAGGGAGCTGCCCCAAAGCCCCCAGCGAGCCGCCGGCAGAGCTGGGCGCAGTCCGGGTCCCCTGGTGCAGTGCAGCTGGAAGGCCAGCTAATGGGCCGGAGAGGCCAACTTCCTGGCCAGTCTCGGCGAGCAAGGGGCGCATGGGCTGCTGCAGGAGTCACACCAGGAGTTGGACCACCTGGTCTCCCTCCGTGCCAGGTCCCAAATGGTACTGGTTAGAAAGGCTGTCCTCTGGAAGTAGGCATGGAATCCTTGGCGCTGTTGCACTCATTTGTAAAATGGCGGTCCCAGGAAATCCCTCTTTCCCTCCCCCTCCCCCAAGGAAGCTTGGAGCAGGTCAAAAGATGGGAAATTAGGAGACCCCAGATGCTCATCCCTTTTTGCCTCTCCCCGGCTGAGGGAACCTTCCTCAAGCCTCCTTTTCCTCCTCGGGGATAATTCAAGGTCCAGGTCTCCGAGGCACCCCTTTCTGACCTGTAATTCTGTATCGGGCAGCAAAGTCAAGTGAAGTTTGAGAACCACAGTGAGCATCTGACCAAACCCTGTTCATTTACCCCTGAGTAACCAAGACTCAGATGAGGGGTTGTGGTGTCCTCAGGGACAGAAGGAGTTCCTCCTGGGGGGAGGAGGGGGGCAGAATTTAAATTTCTCATCTTTCAAGAGGCCACTCAGACCCATTCCTGACCCTTCCTCTCCTGTAGCTGGTGATTCAGTGCCTCCTAGGGGCCCCAGCTCCCCCTCCTGGCCTCTGCCCCAGAATGGGTCATACTGTGTGGTTGTTGCCTCCTCCAGGGTGAATCCAGACTCATTTACTGCCTGGGTCCCCGGGGCCCAGCACTGACACCTTTTAAGGCCTTTCCTTAGGGCCTTGGGCTGCTGTCTGCTCTCTGTCCCCCCCTTCAGAAATCCTTAACTTCTGTGCCAACAACTACCTGGGCCTGAGCAGCCACCCCGAGGTGATCCAGGCAGGCTTGCAGACCCTGAAGGAGTTCGGAGCTGGCCTTAGTTCTGTCCGCTTCATCTGTGGGACCCAGGTATACAGCGCTGATGTGGGGAAGGGGGCGGGCGGGTAGAGGGGGGCCTTGTCCCCGGCATTGGGCACTGACCCCAGCTGTCTGCTTCCCACAGTCGGCAGGACTGGTTTAGCCAGCTCAGCTCATTCCCTCCCAGGGCTGTGGGCCACTCTCGGCCCAGAGCTGTTCACTAGAAAGACTGGGTTCAGGCTTCTGTCTGCTGTGAAACACCTCCTCCGGCATGTTTTCCCACCTGCCGAACAGAGCCCACCTGTCCCCCAGGGAAGGAAGAACAGAAGGCAGGGATTGAGGGATACGGCTCTGGAGCAATTGGGCTAAAGCCCAATTCCCAGCACCACCTTTTTTTCCTTTGATCCTCACCTGAGGATGTGTTTACTGATTTAAGAGAGAGAGGAAAGGAGAGAGGGAGAGACTTGGATGTGAGAAAGAAACAGCGTTCGTTGCCTCCCACACACACCCCAGTAGGGAACTGAACCCGAAACCTAGGTATGTGCCCGGACCGGGATTCGAACACAAAACTTTTTCGTGTATGGGACAACACTCCAACTGATTGAATCACCCGGCCGGGGCCCAGCAACACCTTTTATTGACTGTTACTCTGGGCAAGTGACTTAACCTCTCTGATTCTCAATCCTTTTATTGATAAAATTGGGATAATAGTACTTATTAGGTCTTTACAAATTAAAGAGTTAATACATTTAAAAATGCTTAGAACAGTGCTTGACACACAGCAGTGCTCAATGAATGTTGGTTATTGTTTTATTTTGTAGTGTTTCAAAATAAACATGTAAACATGAAACTTACTGTGCTTACTATGTGTCAGGTACTGTTTTAAGAACATTACATTAATGCTCAGAACTATCCTCAGTGATCAGTGTTGTCCCTGTTAAAGAGGACACTGAGGCCCAGAGTCTTACTGAAGGGCACACAGGCCTTCATGGTAGGATTTGAACCCAGGTGGCCTGGCTCAGGAGTCCATGCTCAAAATCCTCACCCAGACTGGGCAGTTCTCAATCTAAGATTTCAAGATCCAAATGAGCTTAGAGTTACTTATGTAATTCTCTTCTTTTCCATAAAGCGGTGTTTCCCAAGCTTCTCTCATGATGAGAATCACCTGGTGGAGTTGTTAAAATACAGATTCCTGAATCCCAACTAAAAAGTGCTAAACTAGAATTTTTGGGAACATATAAGTAAAATTGTATACTTACTTAGTAAGTATACAATTTTACCTATATGTTCCCAAATTGTATAATTGTATACTTACTAGTTAAGTATACAATTATACCTATATGTTCCCAAAAATTCTATTGTAGTTTAGTACTTCTTAGTTGGGATTCAGGAATCTGTATTTTAACAACTCCACCAGGTGATTCTCATGAGAGAAGTTTGGGAAACACTGCCATAAAGCAACCAAAAAAGACACTCAGCTTGATATTAGCAAGACACATCTTTTTTTGCCATCAGTACCCATAGTTTCACTGTCCACCCCTCATTACAAAAAGAAGAGCCGACCAGGAAGGGCCCCCGAGCAAGTCCCTAGCTCCTCAGTGAGAACCATTTGCCTGATTCCTGTGGGCTCTGAGGAACCTTGTGAAGCAAGGAGGGAGCCTCCTAGGCTGGGTGTGTTTATGACCTTCTGTCCCCAGGACTTGTGCCATGGGCCCCTGCAGGCATTAACCCGTCTCACTCGCTTTCTTCAGAGCATCCACAAGGATCTAGAAAAAAAGATAGCCCACTTCCACCAGCGCGAGGATGCCATTCTTTATCCCAGCTGTTTTGATGCCAATGCCGGCCTCTTTGAGGTATGTCGGGGCCATGGGTGGGAGTTGGTGAGGCTTGCTAGGCTGTAGAAGGAGTGGGCAGTCAGGAGACCCTGACAGGCTGCCAGTGCCATGGCTAGAGGCTCCAGTGGTCATTTCTTAGGGAGGTCAGGTTAGGCCAGTATGTGCTTCAGAAAGGATCCGGAGGCTTGCAAGGAGGCGAACTTTCAGGGTATCTGGGGGATAACCTACATCAGCTGGAAGGCTGGGGGTGGCAGGGGCCCCAGAGAGAGGCAGAGGGCTCCTTGCCGCCCTGCCCCCCTGCCCAACGAAATGCCGTGGTTGGCAGTGAAATGTGGACTCGGGGGAATCAGAGAGGGAGAACACCAGGAGGCTGGGTGATGGTCTACCCCCCTGCCTTCTTCCAGGCCCTGCTGACCGCGGAGGACGCAGTCCTGTCCGATGAGCTGAACCACGCCTCCATCATCGATGGCATTCGTCTTTGCAAGGCCCACAAGTTCCGCTACCGCCACCTGGACATGGCCGACCTAGAGGCCAAGCTGAAGGAGGCTCAGGTGCGGCAAGCCCAGGTCCACACAGACAGCCTGCACATTGGAAACAGCCCGGATTGGAACCCATGTCCCTCAGACCCAGAGCTCTTTTCCATTGCATCCTGCCACCTTGGTACCTTAGTGTGGCAGGCTCTTAGGCATGGTGATGCGATGAACTTATGGGAAGAACTGGCCCCACCCCACGCTGCCCTCTGAAGGGGACACAGGGCATCGGGGCTGTGTGCTCCCACTGCCCTGGCAGGGATGGGTGCGGCCCAGAGAGGAGGGATGAGGAAGATGTTCCAGTCCCAATACTATAGTGCTTATGTACCCACCTCTGTGCTGGGCACCGGGCAAAGTGAGCTCTTTGAGCCCCAAGTAGCTCAGAAGGTGGGTGGTTTCACCCAGCTCATGACACCAGCCGCCACCTGTCCTCGCCTTACCCTGCAGAAGCATCGACTACGCCTGGTGGCCACTGACGGGGCCTTCTCTATGGATGGCGACATTGCACCCCTGCAGGAGATCTGCAACCTCGCATCTCGATACGATGCCCTGGTCTTTGTGGACGAATGCCATGCCACTGGCTTCCTGGGGCCCACAGGACGGTGGGAGCATGTGGCCCCTGAGGCCTTGGGTCGGGCTCCTGAGGGTGGGAGGGAAACCAGGAGGCCAGCCTCCAGCTCCTCCGTGACTGCTGAGGGCTCAGGCGGCCAGTGGGGGCAGTGGCAGCTTTCCTTGCAGGGGCACGGATGAGCTGCTGGGCGTGAAGGACCAGGTCACCATCATCAACTCCACACTGGGGAAGGCGCTGGGCGGAGCATCAGGTGCCTATGGGTTGTGCCCCTGAGGTCCCCTTGTCCACATGCAGGGCCCTAGAGGAGTCTCCGGGGAGGTGAGGAGGGGACAGCTGGGACTGCGGACAGAGGGCAGCATGGACTATCCTCTCGGCTACCCCCACCTCTGCCCTTGTTTCTCAGGGGGCTACACGACGGGGCCTGGGCCCCTGGTGTCCCTGCTCCGGCAGCGGGCCCGGCCCTACCTCTTCTCCAATAGCCTGCCGCCTGCTGTCGTCGGCTGTGCCTCCAAGGCCTTGGACATGCTCATGGAAGACAACTCCATTGTCCAGTCTATGGCAGCCAAGACCGAGCGGTGCAGTCCCTGGCGGGGGTGGGAAAGGCTGGGGGGGAGCTGATGAGGCCTGCCTTATGTGCTGGCCCAGCCCTGCCTACAGGTGCCACCTCTGCTCACACCACATCTCCCGCCTGTTTCACTGGGACGCAGCTTGGCGTCTGCCCATCTTATGTAATTCTGTCTTTCAACCTCTTTCTGGTCTGTTTCTTCCTCTGCCTGGCTCCCCATTTGACTTTCTGACTGCACCTCTGTCTGTGGTCTCTGCAGACTTCGGCACAGATCTGTGCCCATCAGGAGTGGGTGTGAAAGATCCCTAGCCCCCAGTGGGCCTGTGACACCGTTTGTGCCCACAGGTTCCGCAGTAAGATGAAGGCTGCTGGCTTCACCATCTCGGGAGTCAATCACCCCATCTGCCCGGTGATGCTGGGTGATGCCCGGCTGGCCTCTGGCATGGCGGACGACATGCTAAAGAAAGGTGAGGAGACCAGACGAAAGGACTGGCTGTGGGTCCTGAGAGAAAAGAGGGAGGAACGAACCCTTAGACTGTGATACTCCCCATTGTCCCCACCCTACTCCCCTTTTTGACCAGCTGTCCTAATGCGGAAACCCAGCCACGAGGCAGTCCATGTCGAAGAGACCATGGGCTGCCCCCTTGCTCTCTGCGATCCTTAGGAAGTAGGAGCTGTGTGTCATGCCCCAAAGCCTGCAGGCTCCAGTGAGTCCCAGGTTGGCTCTCTCCACCTTCCCAGGCATCTTTGTCATCGGGTTCAGCTACCCAGTGGTCCCCAAGGGCAAGGCCCGGATCCGGGTGCAGATCTCCGCGGTGCACAGCGAGGAGGACATCGACCGTTGCGTGGAGGCCTTCGTGGAGGTGGGGCGGCGGCACGGGGCATTGCCCTGAGCCCGCCCTCCACGTCAGCCCAGGCCGGAGGCTCAGCCCTGTCCGAGTCCTGGGGCCAGGCCGGTGCTTGTGGCCCTGAGTGTGAAACAAACGTGGAAATTGCTGTGACGCGTTGGTCTGCTTTATTCTCTCTGAGCAGTGAAGCAGCAGGCAGGACGGGGCTCTGGGCAGGCTCCTGCAAGCAGACCTCAGAGCTGAACACCTCCCCACATTAAGAGGAGACCCAGGCTGCTGGGCTGATACAGCAGGGGCCGCCCCTGCTCTGCAGCCTCCGGAGTCTAGCCTTGGGTGTTCCTCCCATCTGAAGGACCACTTACAGCTGCCAGAATAGAAGGATGGACCCCATCCCATGTTTGTGCGAGAGGCTGAGGATTCAAGCCCCAAAGGAAAGATTGTGGGTCACTCCTGGAGAGGCCCCTGTGCCTGGAACCTTGTGTTCCAGCCACTCTGGGCCCCATTCTCTGTGTGTGCCTCATCCCCTCACCCCCCTGCCAGCACGGAGCCTGGATTTATGTTAATGCCGGCCTTCTTGCACCCTCATCTCAAGGCCTAATGGCCTGATGATCAGCCGCCAGGGGGCGCCGCGAGCTAAGACTCCGGCCGCTATGGCCCCGCCCCTCCAGACTCCAGGCCTTGGACTCCGGGCTGCTTCGCGGGCAAGGCCAGGAGGTGATTGGCTGCTGTGAAGGCCCCATCCACCTTTGTCCACCACGCCTCGCTGCGTTCCTATTGGAGATAGTACCCCCATCCCCCCAACACACACACACACACACACACACACACACACACACACACGGTCTTTTCCCCTTGCCCTCCCCACTCAGCCTTATGGGCACTGGTGCGGGCGGGGGCTGGCTCTCGGTGATTAGCCTTGGGAAGCTCTTGCGCAGTTTGCTGCTAGAGCAGGAAGGCTGATAAGGCCTTATTAACAGGGAACTAGGACAAGGTCTGTGATGCCCTGCATCCCAGCCTCCCCTTTCCTTGGAAATGATGGGGTGGACTATCTGATTGAGCTCCAGCCCAACCCTGCAGGATCTTAACACGGGGGTTCTGGAGTCCTAACCTGTGATCTGGAAGAGCTTGAAGGTGGGGTCAAGGAGCCCAGGGTGCTGGGGGATGCAGCAAGGGGGAGGGGCTGCTGTGGCCACATCAGCAAGAACCCTTGAATGCTCCTGCCACCAGTGGAAGGCACCTGGTGCCACATGCACTGCTATAGCAGCAAGGGTGCATAGACTGTAGCTTGATATGTAAAGTCTGCCGGTGGCACGATACATTCCTGGCAGCCACGATCATAGTCACTGTAGGTGCGCCCTACCCAGCAGAGCCAGAGCGCCCGGCTCAGGCCCACTAGCTGTTGGCTAGCTTCCCCCAATGGACACCATAAGCAGCTGGGACATCCTGGGCCTGGCCACTAGTGCACCGTGCAGCTGGCCAGTATGTGGTGGCCTGGTCCATGGCCGTCCGGAAGGGGCCATGGGAAGCACTGAGGAGCAGCAGCTCTGGTTGCATGCAGTTGGGCTTGGCACATACTAGACACTCGCAAGAGGCTTGAGGGCCGGTCATGGGTCAGTGGCATTTCTTACAGCAGGGCTGGCGGCTCAGAGGACCGCTCCCAGGGCACACCACCCACATCCTTTGCAGTGGGCACGGGTTCAAGCTGTGGCCGCCGGGAACAGAAGTCGGAGTGGAGGGAGGAGGGTGCTAGAGGCACGCTGGTGCTGGCCATGAGGACATGCCTTCTTGCCTGCCCCGAGGCCAGGCTTTCCATGTCCCCTCTATCCTCCCTCTGCATCTACCATCAAAGCTGCTCAGCTTCACCGCTGCTGGGAGTGCCCTCGTTTGCCAGAGCCCAGCTAGGGGTAAGGAGTGGCCTTGTGGGCTGGGGGCCCCCAAGGGGAGGTAGGACAGTATGTCAGGGATCTCAGGGCTCCCCAGGTGCAGGCATTGCCACATTAGGGAGCCCGGGCTTCTGGGAGTCGATTGGCACATTCAATTCATAAAGGGTGATTGTGATTCTAAAACCCAGCACTCTTGAGTCTAGGATCCTACAGCCTGCCTTTCAGTGCTCATAAGAGCCCGCGGCAATGCCTTAATTCAGCCTGCTAGCTCTGAATTCAGATTTGGAGTCTAGGTCTGAGTCCTAATATCTTCAGTTTAGGGGTTGTCTGCACCTGGTGAGAGCCATAGGCTAGAGCAGCACTGCTGAGCGCTCCCAGAAACCCCGGGCCTAGCTCCTCTGGCCTTGATGCAAGGCTTGGCTTGGTCAGCACCCCTCATACTACTTCCACCCTCCCAGACTTCCCCCTGGACGTTCGTTCCACCCTCCCAGCTTCTAGAAAGACCATGCAGTCCCTCCCACCTCTTCACTCCCTGCGGTCAGCACCGCACCCCTAGGTGCCGGCCTGTATCCCTTTGGCCATGTGGTCCACTCCTCTGAGAGGTCCGGCCGGAACCCCTGGACTAAGCCGCCATTCTCCAAGACCTTTAACCTGTCTGGCTGTTGGCATGTGAAGAGGCCTCTAACAGCCCTGATTGGTTCGGCTCAGTGGATAGAGTGTCAGCCTGGGGACTGAAGGGTCCCAGGTTCGATTCGGGTCAAAGGCATGTACCTTGGTTGCGGGCACATTCTCAGAAGGGGGTGTGCAAGAGGCAGCTGAATCGATGTTTCTAACTCTCTATCCCTCCCCTTTCCTCTCTGTAAAAAATCAATAAAATATGTTAAAAAAAAAAAAAAAAAGGCATCTAACAGGTCACTTGTTAGATCACTGCCAATCTGTGCATCCTTTTCACCGCAGCCGTGATAAGTTAATTACAAAATAAAGTGGCAGGTTATATCCCTGCTCTAAAACTTCTTCCTAGTTCCCCATTGCCCTCTGGCTAAGCCAGACTCCTCAGGCTGATACACACTCTCCAGTGTCCAGCCAGACTTAACCCCTGGGCCGCACTGATACGTCTCCAGGTTCTCGGGGTCTGGGGAGGGGCCTCACCTGAAGAATGCAGAAAAGGCACTCATTCTGCTTTCCCAGCCTACGACACCCCATTCAAGACTAGGAATCCTTTCTGGACTTGGGTCGGAGCAGGGAGAGGGGAGGATGGGGAGTGGAATCCTCAGGCAGGGCCCTGGGCACAGAGGGGTTAACTACAAAGCAATTCTCAGAGAGCAAGATCAATGGGTTACTCACTGCCCAAAGGAAGCAAAGAGGAGAGCCTGGCAGAAGAGCATGCACCTGGGGGATGTCCGGGGCTGAGGGGGGTGGCCACTGGGCACTCGGGAGCGACTGCCCAAGTCCCGCTCGGCAGAGGAGGGGCCTTAAAGGAGAAGAGGGAGGCGTGAGAGGCAGCTCTGCATCTGAGGGAGGCACCAAGCGGTGGCCACGGAGCTGGGGCAGCCCCAGCCTGACGGTTCACCCAGGATCGAGCGGGAGCCTAGAGCCCAGGACCCAGGTAAGAGTTACCCATCCTGCACTGGGAGGGTCTGGTGCATGCTGGCTGGGGGGAGGGGGGGTACAGCACATCTATTTTCTTACCTCCCCCTGCCTGTTCCCCTTGCCCTAAATTTGTCCCACCCACCTAGGGGTCCCAGGCTTCAGGGGGAATCCGCAGGTAGGAGCCGATGTGGGGTGGGGTAGGGTGAGGGAGGACACAGCTTGCACAAACACACGTGCACATGCACGCACACAGGTTTTCTCAGCGGCACCGGTTACAGACAGGCTCTCGGGAGCGCTCCAGCCCGGGAGTCAGCACCAGGATGGCAGCAGCCCCACTTCTGCCGCTCAGAGTGTGATCCTCAGCTTCCCTGTGCCCGCTCTCGGCCCAGACTTTCTCATGTGCGGGGAGGGGTGGGGAGGGGGACCTATATTTGGAGTTCCCAGCTGTGCTACTGGGGGCTCTCACCAAACTGGACTCCCCCAGGTTTTGCTGGCCTTGACCCATGTCCAAGAGTCTCCCCTGAGCTTCAGATGCCCCACTGAAAAGGAAATATACCTGCTCCCGAGGATGGGGTGCCCCTCTACTCACCCCCTCCGCCTGTGTCTACCTGCACCATTGGTTGGAGGTGTCCATCACCTCCCCAGTCAGCCCTTCTCACTTAGCACTAGGGGGTGTTCTCTAGGAAGCTGGCAAACCCACCTCAGACACCAATGTAACTGCCAGGCGCTTGCACCATAGGGCTCTTCCCCCCCCCCCCCCCCCCCCCCCCCCCGCCCCAGGAGCATCTAGCCCAGGGGATCTAGCCAGGCCCAGGCTGAGGAAACCAGACCCTGTGACCAGGGCTGGGAGCCCTGCCTGAGAAGTCCAGCTTCTCTCCCCAGGTGGTCATCTGCTGGAGAGATGGCTGATGCCCAGAACAGTTCGCTGGACAGCCCAGGGAGCGTGGGGGCTGTGGCAGTGCCCGTGGTCTTTGCCCTCATCTTCCTGCTGGGCACGGTGGGCAACGGGCTGGTGCTGGCCGTGCTGCTGCAGCCCGGCCCCGGGGTGTGGCAGGAGCCGGGCAGCACTACTGACCTGTTCATCCTCAACCTGGCCGTGGCCGACCTCTGCTTCATCCTGTGCTGCGTGCCTTTCCAGGCCGCCATCTACACGCTGGACGCCTGGCTCTTCGGGGCCCTCGTCTGCAAGGCTGTGCACCTGCTCATCTACCTCACCATGTATGCCAGCAGCTTCACGCTGGCCGCCGTCTCCGTGGACAGGTGTGCCTGGGACCGGGCTGGGCCGGGGCGGGAAGACCTGACCAGCGCTCACTGGCCTCAGGACAGAGAGAACCGGGGACCCAAAAGGGAGATGGGAGAGAGGAAAGGAGCAGCTCTGGCCATCACCTACCAGCCTCTGGGCACCTGCAGGGCGGGCTTGCAGGGACCATCCTGCCCTTCCCAACTCCGTTAGGACCTTCCCCTAAAGGTCTCTGTGTCTCAAGCGCCCTCACCAGGTCTGGCACATGCTAGGGGCCCTGTGAGGGAAATGAATGAGGAAAGGGATACACGAACGAACTCAGATATGTATTACCACCCATGCCTGGCCTGGTTGACATCATCCATGGCTGCCTTCATGGCTTGAAACTTGGGGTCAAATCCAGGCTCACTGTCTAGCTGATGACCTTGGCCAAGTCATTTTACTCTGCACTTCCCGGCACTTCTCTAAGCGCTTGGCCCGTAAACCCCCTTAATCACTACCACCCGGGGGGCAGGTTGAGTGGTGACCCCCTGCTCCACCAACCCCCAGGCTCCATTTCCGCGGTGGGGGCGCGGATGCGGCTGACCGCCCCCCCCCCGCAGGTACCTGGCCGTGCGGCACCCGCTGCGCTCGCGGGCCCTGCGCACCCCGCGCCACGCGCGCGCCGCCGTGGGGCTGGTGTGGCTGCTGGCGGCGCTGCTGGCGGCGCCCTACCTCAGCTACTACGGCACGGTGCGCTACGGCGCCGGCGAGCTCTGCGTGCCCGCCTGGGAGGACGCGCGCCGCCGCGCCCTGGACGTGGCCACCTTCGCGGCCGGCTACCTGCTGCCCGTGGCCGTGGTGAGCCTGGCGTACGCGCGCGCGCTGCGCTGCCTGCGGGCGGCCGTGGGCCCGGCGGGCGCGGCGGCGGCGGCGGCGGCGGGGGCGCGGCGCAGGGCGGCGGGCCGCGCGGGGCGCGCCATGCTGGCGGTGGCGGCGCTGTTCGCGCTGTGCTGGGGCCCGCACCACGCGCTCATCCTGTGCTTCTGGTTCGGCCGCTTCGCCTTCAGCCCGGCCACCTACGCCTGCCGCCTGGCCTCGCACTGCCTGGCCTACGCCAACTCCTGCCTCAACCCGCTGGTCTACGCGCTCGCCTCCCGCCACTTCCGCGCGCGCCTCCGCCGCCTGTGGCCCGGGGCGCGCCGCCCCCCGCGCTCCCGCCGCGCCCGCCGCCGCGTCCGGCCCGTGTCCCCGGGCCCCGACGGCTGCCCCTGCCCCGGGGACGCCAGGCCTCCGGGCGGCGGCTGGGACGGGGAGCCCGGGGAGGAGGCTGGCCCCGCCCTGACTCCCGCCGGAGCGAAATAAACCGTGTCCGCCGCACTCCGCTGGTGTCCTGTGTCTGTCACCCCCTCCCCCGGGCCAGGCGCTGCCAGGGGAGGGGATGCGGCAAAGCCAGAGCCCAGGAGGGTGGCTGAGCTGGGGTTCCAGCCCAGGGGACACCCCTGGGTGGTGAAATGAATGGATACAGCTTAGAGCACCCCCAGACGGGCAGCCCCCAGACTGTCGGGCAGGAGAGCAGGCCCGCTCCCGTCCCTGCATCAGCAGCTCCTACACCCTGCCTCCCCCTCCACCTTCACCAAGCCCTTCCCCTCCACGCCCCGTTCTGGTTAATACTAGCAGCCAATGTGGCCAGTACTAGTGAGCACTTCCTAAGACTCTTCTGTGGAGTTACATTCTCCAACCTAATTATCAAAACAGCTTTGCGGGATCATTATAATGTGTCCATTTTACAGCTGAAGAAATCAACAGTCCGAGGGACCTAGTGGTTTGCCTCAGGCCACATAGCTGGTGCTGCGCAGAGGCCGGATTCAGCCGGCTGCGGTGTAATTCTCCAGAGAGCCGCCCCTCCTCCGCCTCCCAGGCCTCTGCTCTCGGTTTCCATGGTTTCCAAGGTGTGTTTATTTTGTTCTTTCTGGTTCTGGATCAGCCCTCTTCCCCACCCCACAGCTCCCCACACCCTAACCTCCGGCTCGCAGTCCCCTTCCTTAGGAGAGTGCCCTTCAGATCCTCGGGCCTCATGGGCTTCAGGTCCTAGGCCCACGCCTGACCCAAACCCCGTGCTCCTGCCTTGGCCAGGCAGTGCTCCTGGCTCAGGAGACACTGTCACATGGGGTCCCAGCTGGCCTCCCCGCAGCCCTGGCTGCCCTGTGGCCCCTCCCCTTTCCCAGCACAGCCTGTGGCGGTGGAAACCTCCGCATTAACCCATCAATCAGTTTCAGTGGTTGCAGAGCCGACCACTTCCCTCCCTCCCTCACCGCTCGCCAATAAGCTTGATCAGCTCCGGCTGGGGCCTGAGACCTTGCGGCCTCCGTGCCTCCCCAGCACACCTTCTGGCTGCCGGGCACCTGGGAGGGCCCCTCCCTGACCACAGGCAGCTGTTGGGCCTGGTCACTGCCTGCCACCTGCCATCTGCCGCAGGCCCAGGGGTCAGAGTGGCAGTCGCCTCTCCCAGGGAGGCAGGGACCCAGCTGGGGGAGCAGCTGCTTCAATGGCCCGGCCCCAGGGCCTGACCCGGGTCCAGTGCTCCTCCTCCCATGTCTCTGCCAAGGTTTCCACCCCACATGCAGGCCGCAGGCTGCAGCGGAGTGTGCCCTGGAGGGCAGCACCAAACGGCCCGGGTCTCCCTGCGGCCTCACACCTCCAGCCCGAGCAGGCAAGGAATATTGCCTCCATCCTCAGAAGCCAAAGCTGAGGCTCCAGAAGGTGAGGCAGCTTGACCGGAGCCAAGTAGTAAATCTGGGCAGAGCTGGTATCCGGGCCTGGTCCTGGGGCTGGCTCTACCAGCGCCAGGCAGCATCGGGAAAACATCAGCGCATCCGACAGAGCCCGATCCTTGGTGACGGTGAGAGCCTGCACAGTAAAGGGAGGGACTAACATCCACGCTGGGCTGCGGCTCCTCACAGTCACCTCTGAGGCACTGACAGGCGACCGACTGGGATGGCCTCCATCTGGGACGGGCAGGAGACAAGCTCTCCCAGCCAGAGAGCCACAGCTTCCCAGTCTGAACCTGCATGAAACCCCAGGCCCCGGGGAGGGGCTGCTCCGTGGAAACCCTCCCCAGCGGCCTGGTCTCTCCTCAACTCTCAGGCAGCCAGGCCTCTGGCAGGACTTTGAGGCCTCCTACATTAAAAATAAAAATAAAAAAAATTTAATATTTAAAGAGAGGAAGGCAGGGAGGGGGAGAGAGAGTGAGAGAGAAACATTGATGTGGGATAGAAGCATCAATTGGTTGCCTCCCGTACATGCCCCCACTGGGATGGAACCCCTAACCTGGGTATGTGCCCTTTTTGGTGTGAGACAAAGCTTCAACTAACTGAGCCACCGGCCAGGGCAGGGCCTCCTACTTCTGAAGGTCTCTTTGGCCCCTGGAGCCGAATAAAGAAGCCAGAGGCCCTGGTTAATGGAGGGCAGTGCAGCCTGGCCCAGAGTGGCACACAGCAGATATCTGATACACGAGGTCAGAGATGCCAGGGAAAGAAAGACACGATCTGTCCCTCCTTTAGCCCCCAAACATTGGAGTGCCTGCCCTGAGCTAGGCCTTTGGGGGAAGACACAGGTGGCATGAGTTTGACCTGGTCTCTCCCTTCTAGGAGACAAAAAGCAAAAGAAGAGAGGACAGCATGTGGGGGGGGGCTGTGAGAGAGCAGGCAGTCTGAACCGGCAGAGGCCACTCCAGCCTTCCCGGGCAATCCGAGCAGGAGTCCAGAGAAGATAGCAATCAACATGCACTTTTCTGGGAAAAGGTAGGGAGGGCCTGAAGGTGGAGCAACAGCCTGTGCCAAGGCAGGGTGCAGGCAGGAGCAATAAGTGGGCTCCTGCCACTGAAGCCAGGCGGGCGGGGTCCAGGGTGGTTGGGAGGGGCTGCAGTGAGACCCCGAGGGCTCCCAGGCCTGCTGGAGCACAGGAGCTTTCACCAGGCGGGTTTCAGGAGGGGCGGGACCCCATCGGACATGAGGTCAGAGAGCCCCAGGGTCACAGTGTGAGGCTGGCTACCCAGAGGCTGCCCTGGGAGCCGGTGGCTAGGAAAACTGCCGCCCAGGGCCCAGCCCGGGGCTGGGAATCGATGTTCGCTGAGGGTTTGGCAGGAAGATGGATGGACTGCTGCTGGGCTTGGGGTTGGCCCCAGAGACGCCGGGTCAGCGTCAGGGGGCTAATGAGATGCTTGGAAGAGCAGATGGCCTTAATACAGCAGGTGCCTGGATAACGTCATTTTGTTCAATGTCGTCGAATTATAACATTGAGGAGATGCCATGGGAACCTCACGCTAGTTGATATCTATTAGGCTGAAATAAAACTGGTTTTGTTAGATGTCATTTTGCTTAAAGTCACGGAACCTATGGACGATGTTCAGTGAGAAGTTACTGAGCTTTGGCTAGGAGAGCACTGTGAGGCCTCAGGGCCCGGGGCAGGCAGCAGGGGCTGGAGGAGAGGCTGAGCGAGCCCTGGCTGCTGTCCCAGAGCCCAGGAGAAGCCACCTGACCGGAGCCCCCTGCCAGGTCTCAGCCCGGGCCTGGGGCGCGAGGGGCCTGCGAAGGAACCCGTTAGTTGGAGGGAGATTATACTCTGCATCCCTTCCTCCCTATTTGTGCAAACCTCTTAGGGAGGGGCCTGTAACATTCGTGTATGAGCGCTTAGTGACCTAGGGGTGTCGAACTCAATCAGAGAAGGGGCCAAAATCTAAAATCCAGCCTAAATCGCGGGCCGAATGGTTTACTGAACAGTCATAAACTGTCATTGTGATGGAAATGCAGCGGAGTGCAGTGATGACAGCGCGGTGAGGGCCACATTGCAAGGCCTGGCGGGACGGATTTGGCCCGAGGGCCTTGTGTTTGACACATGTGGCTTAGTCGGACAGGTTCTTTGCAGTAATGAAAGATGGAGGCACCAGAGAGTGGGAGTCCAGAGGAGGGCCCGAGCCAGCATGGAGAGCATAGAAGACTTACTGGAGGAGCCGCCGTGCAGCCAGGTCCTGCAGTGGGAATTATTAGGGTGGACAGGGAGGAGGAGAGGGAACGTGAGCATGAAGAGGGGTGTCCACAGGGCACCGGTGCTGGACGCCCTGCTACCTTTCAGGCCTTGCGCTTGTTCTAGAACCCGGGTCTCCTCTGCTTTAGAGCTTGAAGAGGAAAACACTGGAGCTCAGAGAGATTATGTAACTACCTAAGATCACAGAGCTGGCCAGAAACAACTGGGTCTTCAGCGCCATCTGTCTGATTTCAGTTCCACGGTTTTCAGGGAAGAGGCAGGAAGGAGTTGGTTGAGGAAGAGAGAGGAACTGGGATGTACAAATAAAGTCAGCCCCCCCCCTCCCCTGTATAGCAACCAGAGTGGGGGCTAAAACGCAGTCCAGGGAGGATGGGCAAGATGAGGGCCCTGGCACAGCTGTGTTAATCAGCCCTCTCCCTGCCTGACGCCAGCAGGCACAGCATCATCTATCAACTCTGAGGTGTGCGTGTGGGGACATCAATACCAATTAAGTACCAAGGTTTCCTATTAACGAACATCAGTTTCTCAGCCCCGATGCAGGACTCGTTTGCAAGCTGCCAGCTGGACCCAAGATGGCCCGAGGCCAGAGGGCCAGGCTGTGCAGGCTGGATGGTGTCTGGGGTGCGGACAGGCCTGATTTATTGAGGGATCTGTTCGGAGCCATGTTGTTCCAGTGGCCCAGGCTCCGTGGAGGTGTGAGACAGAAGCAGGAGGGAGGGTGGCGAGGAAGAGGTGAGCGGTACTGTGCCAGCTCGGAGTGCCTGGGGTGCTCTGGATAGAGGTGACGCCGGGCATTGGGTGGACCAGAGAGGTGGCATAGAGGAGGGGTCAAGGCGGACTTGGAGCCACACTGTGGGGTTGGAGTCCTGGCTCCTGCACCCCCTGGCCCTGACCTCGCTGAGCCGCAGTGGCCGGCAGCACTCGGCTCTCTGCCTGAGTGGGCCCCATTGGAGGCCCGCTGCCAGCCATACGTGAGGTGTCAAGGGCCCCCCCAGGCAGATCCTGGGCTCCAGCTGAGGAGGTGTGACTCATCCGCCTCTGACCCCTGGGTGTGTTAACTGGCAAGTACGTCCACAGCACATGCACCCTCCCAGCTCCCGGATGGGGAGTCACCAGGCGGCCAGGCCGGTCATGGAGAGGAGAGAACACTCGGTCCCTGGTCTGGGCAGGATAATTTTGCTTCCCTGAGCCCGTTTCCTCATCTGTAGCATGAGCTGCTACCTCTCCCTGCAGGCACTAGGCCTGGGTATCAGCTGGTGAGCCAGCACCAGGTGCTGGAGCTGGAATGCCCTTTGGGCCCCACAGCTGGTGGGGAGCAGGGAGTTTGCTGGGGTGACCAGGCAGTGGTCCAGCCTCCTGCCTCCTCACTCTGGCATGGGCTCAGCATCTGAAGAGTCTGGGGAGCAGGCAGCCCTGGGGGCTGGGAGGGCAGGGACTTTCTCCCAGAGGCTTTTCCCAGAGCTCCTGGTGCCTGCTGGGTGAGGACACATCTGACTCCGGTTGGAGTGACAGCCTGCCTCACCTGGTCCGTTACCTTCAGACCTCAGGACTTCTGTGGCTTGGTCCCACCTCCCTCCATGACCAGCCAGTCACCTGCTTGGTCCCAAGCCAGCCCTCCGACCACCTGGGAAGCAGCTTCCAGAGATCAGCAAGGATGACTCAGCTCCATCGCCTCGGGCTGCCCTTTGTGCTCTTCCAGTGACCAGGGACATGCCTTGTCCACCAGGCACACTGTACCTGTGCTAAGTGAGGAAATAGTCTGCCTTCCTGTACCTGAGGCTGCTCACGGAGACACACTCGCTCCGTAAGGCCTATGGATTCCTGCAGCCTGGGTCTCAGGGGCACTGCACATGCTGGCCCTGTGGGAACCTTGGCAGAGATTACGCTAGACCAGGCTGGGCCCCACATACTGGCTGTCTGACCTCAAGCAAATCCTTCCTCTGAGCCTCAGTTTTCTGCATCTGTAAATAGTGGGAGCAGGAATGTTGGCTTCTCACATTTTACTGCGAACGCTAAATCAGAGGGCTTGTATGAAGGGCTGGCCTGCTCACAGTAGGAGCTCGGCTTTAGGACACTGCTCCAGAGAAGGCTTCAGCTCCAGGCCTGGTGGGAACTGCAGGAAACTAGGTCCCAGCCCGCCTGGGGTTGGGTCCCCTGACAAACCTGCTTCCCCGCAAAGCCAGTTCCTCACAGGTGGTTGTGAGAACCCGTGAATATTCTGCTCCCAGCACTTCCCATCATTGGCAGGAGCCAGGTCAGGCAGACTCTGTGTTCCCACCTTGAACAGTGCCCAGGGCACCACAAGTGCTCAGTATCCTCCTATATCATAAAAGCCTAATATGCTGTGTCCAGTTGCCCATTCAACCAATCAAAGAGAAATATGCTAAGACCCCTCAACTGCACACTGTGGCATGCACTGACCACCAGGGGGCAGACACTCAATGCAGGAGCTGCCCCCTGGTGGTCAGTGTGCTCCCACAGGGGGAGTGCCACTCAGCCGGAAGTTGGGCTCAGGACTGGTGAGGCCAGCAGTGGTGGTGGGAGCCTCTCCCGCATTGGTGGCGGCGCTAGGATGTCCAACTGACGCCGGCAGCAGGCCTAAGCCATCAGCTGGACATCCCCCGAGGACTCCCAGACTGTGAGAGGGCACAGGCCGGGCTGAGGGACCCCCCCAAAGTGCACAAATTTCATGCATTGGGCCTCTAGTTCCTAATATGAACAAATGTGAGGTATAAAGCAAAGGACCCTCCCAGAAGGTGAAATCAACAACGATGGATTTCTTCTTGCTACCCACACCCCCATCCCGTCCCACCTCCCCCACAGACTCAGTAACTCCTGGAACAGCTGGTAACAGAACACTCCTGTGTGGGCAACCTCTGTGGAGTTCTCCCTCCTGCCCCCGCCAGCCCAGCCAGCTCAGGGCCCTCTGTGTTTTCTGACTCACTTCAGTGTCGGGGGCGGACAGGAACTGGCTGGCTCTTACAGGTGTGGGGGTGCAGGATAAATCCTGGCTGGAAACGGGGCGAGGCAGATCGTCTGGCTGCCTCCGCCTGGCCTATAAGCCACCTTCACCTGTCAAGCCCTTTGTTCGCTGTCTGCGTGGCCAGGGAGAGAGCGGACGATGATTCCTTCGCTTGCCCCAGCAGCCTGCTCTCGTGGCTACCTGGCTGCAGGGCAAGGGGTGGATGGTGGGGCACCACCGGGATGGAGGGTGTCCATTTCCAGGTGGGGATGGTTTGGTTCAGCCAAGGGCCTGGGAGTGAGCCAGGGCTTCTCCATGCCCGGCTGTCCTGGAGACACAGTCATCTCAGGGCAGCCTCGGTCTCAGCGTGCCCCCCTCCTCCTAGCGCTGCCGGTACAAAGCAGCCTGCCCTAGGCGTTAACGGGCCCAGAAGGGCCAGCCAGTCCCCCAGATGACCTTGGCAGGCCCATCTGCTCCCCAAGTCCCTAACCTTGCCCTAGCCAGTGGCTCGGTGGTTAGAACGTTGGCCTGAGGACTGCGGGCTTGATTCAGATCAAGGGCACGTACTTGGGTTGCAGGCTTGGTCACTAGCTCTGGTTGGAGTGTGTGCAGAGAGACACAATCCATGTGTCTCTCAGGTCAATATTGTCTCCCCCCCCCACTCTCTCTCTAAAAAAAACCCTCGGATGAGGATTAACAAAAGCATTCCTAACCCCTTCCGAGTGTGGATCATGCTGATAATGAAAGCTATGGACCCTTTATCAGAAACACGCACGCGTGCTCTCCACACATCTCGCATTGTGTCAGGGAGTTCGCACCTCCCGAAGAGCCCGTTAATTGAGCACCGTGGATCCGAAGTTGAGAAATCTTGCTCAGCTCTCTCCAGGGTGGTGAGGTGGGGCGAGGCCTAGAGAAGCAGATCCCAAGAGGAATACCCTGTTTGAAGTCCTCCCTCCTGCCCTGCCTCTGCTGCTCCAGACTCTTCCCTGCCCAGCCCCCCTGCTGGGGCCTGGCCAAGGGAGGCCGTGTCCGGGCACAGGCCCGCGGAGCGCCTGTGGGAAGGGAAGCTCACTGAGGCCCTTGAGCCTGCGTGGGGAGCTGACAACATGGACAGAGGGAGAAAGCTGCCCCATCCTGCCCCTCGTCCTCACTCCCCTCACTCCTCACTCTGCAGCTCCCCTCACTGCCCCGCAGCGGCAGGCAGCCCCTCACTCTCAGCAGCAGCAGCGTCTCACTGCATCCTCTGTCCCTCTCCCCCCCGCACCCCCGAGGCCACACTTCCCCTCCTCAACTTGCCCGCCTAGTGGAGCTTTCGGCTCCCCCACAGGGGCCGAGAGCAGCCGGGGCTGGTTGCTTGTACCTACAGAAACCCTTTTTCCTCAGGGCCTGGAAGCCTGGGTGCCAGGAGTTAACCAGATCTGGGATTTGGGAACACGCTCCCCTCCCTCCTCTGAAAAGTAGCCAGAACCCTGCTGTGCTGGGCGGGGGGGGGGGGGGGGGGGGGGGGGGGGCGGAGAGGGGGGGACGGGGCAGAGCCAGTGGCCTGAGGCCAGGCAGGGCCTCCCTTGGTCCCCAACCAGGGCCTGTGCTCCTGCGGGGGAAGGGGGCGGGGCGGGGGTCCCTCCTTCCCAGGGAGTTCTGAGCCTTGTCTAGTGTATTAGTTTCCTGCAACAAATCACCGCAGACTTAGTGTCTTAAACAACACACATTTATTCTTACAGTTCGGATGGTCAGAGTTCTGAGTCTGACTGGGCTAACGTCAAGGTGTCGGCCGGGCTGGTTCCTTCCGAGAGGAGGACCGTTCCCTTGCCTTCTCCGGCTTCCGGAGGCCGCCTGCACTCCTTGGCGTGCGACCCCTTCCTTGCAGGGACAGCTTCTTGCTCCGTCACCGTACCCCCCACTTCCTCTGATCTGCTTCCCTCTCAGACGGTCCCTGTGACCACCTCAGGCCCCCCTGGACAATCAGGGCAACCGCCTTGTCATCACCAAGTCTTTGTGCCACCAGAGGTCACCGGGTCCCGGGATGAGAACCCGGACACCTTGGGGCCACTGTTCGGCCTCCAACCAGGCTGCCATGGTCTCCTGGCGCGTCATGGTCGGGAGAAAAGGGTTGGGTTTTTCTGCTCTGGGTTTAGCAGGTCCTTCCTAACCTGTATTTCTAGGGTCTAGGCTTACCAACCTCTCCTTCCGCCCAGAGAGCTCACAGCAATGTGTCCTTGACAGCCAGGTGCCAAGTCTAAATCTAACGCTGGTGAGAGGCGCGGGACCATCCCAGAAGCTCCTGAGCCCGAGGGCACCTGCCTGGAGCCACACCCTGCCGCTGCATCAAGCCCACGGCCGGGAAGGGACAGGGAGGGCTGGGCCCGCTGAGGTGCCAGAGGCCACGGAGTGGGTGAGCCCTGCTAGGCCCGCGCTTCCGGCCAGAGCTGCGGTGTGGCTGCATGCCCGGGGCCAGAGGAAGAAGCTGGGGCTGTGGTCCCAGCTCAGGGAGGACGGAGGCCATGGCTGGGAGAGGCTCTGAGGCTGGTGAGAGCATCTCTGGCCCACGGCATCCGGGGTGAGGAGGACGGCCTCACAGACAAGTGCAGCTCCCAGTCCCAGGCGCAGGCTTTCCTTAGTAACGGGGCGGGCGGGCAGGGGCGGGGCGGAGGACACGGAGCCCCTCTTGCTACCTCTTCTCCATGCTCTGCATCTGCAAGCTGAGGGAGGTGAAGCTGGCCAGGAGGTCGGTCACCTCATCCACCTGCGGGACAAAAGGGAGGCTCTGTCACGGGATGACCAGCCTGGGTGCCAGGCCCCAGGTCTTCTTCCCAACACCACAGGCCGGAGGGCAGCACCGTCTCTCCTCCCAAGGCCTGTGGGGGCTTCACTGGACTGTGCACAGCTGCCCAAGGGTCAGTCCTCGACAGCAGGTGGTCTCAGACCCAGCGAAGGGCCCCCAGCAGCTTCGAAGGAAGTGGGCAGAGGCTTGAGGTCACAGTGGGCTGCAACCCTCAGCCACGGCCTCTTTCTGCGCTGAGGGTCTGGCTGCTCAGAGCAGGGTGCACTGGCCCTGTGGTTCCTGCCAGACCGGGCCTGGCCCTGCGGCCACGCTCACCTGCTCCCTGGTGCTCGTCATCTGGAGGCGGGTGCACAGGTCGTCCAGCCGCTCCCGCTGCTCATGCCGCCCCAGGCGCTCCAGGTACTCCCTCAGCATCTGGATGATCTGGAACGAGGGGGCGGGCTGGGCTGGGGTCCCGGCTAGGAGGCACCGGAGCAGGTACCGGAGGGGTCAGAGTGAAGTGGCCCGGGAGCCTTGGCGCTGGAGGGGGGAGTCTGTGGTGAGGGCAGCGCCTGTCCAGTGCTGGCTGGTGCCGTGGCTCAGCATGAGAGGGGCACTCACCTGCTTCACCTCCAGCCGCACGGCCTCCAGGCACTGGGAGTGGCCTTCCTGCAGGATGCTCAGCTTTGACTTGGCCAGGTGCAGGGGCGTGCGGCCAGCTCTGTCCAGGGCATCCACACGGGCCCCTGTGGGAGCAGGCCGCGGTGAGCACCCGGGGTGAGGGGGTGAGAGGAGGGGGGAGGGGAGGTGCCACGTACCTCCTCGCAGCAGCGTGGTGATGACAGGCACGTGGTTGGTGCAGGCGGCTGAGGAAGAACAGGGATGTGAGTGCAAGCCACCAGGGCTGGGCCCCGTGCCTGCTGGGGGAGCGGGGCTGTCTCCGAGTGCGCCTGGCCAGGCCATGCCTCCTGGATGGCGTCACCAAAGCAGCAACTCGGGGGGGACTCGGCAATCAAGCCCGCTCCCTCCTGTGCCAGCGGGGACACTGAGCTGGGAGCTGTACCGGCCGCACTGTTCGCCAGGGAGGGAGTCAGCCACCCGGCAGGGCTCACTCCCTAGCAGAGCCGCTGCTGAGCCAGGTCAGGCGCCTCCATCAGCTCCGCTCAGGGCACAGCCAGCTGTGACTGACTGGGAAGACCATGGCGCCCACACTGGGAGCGAAGGCTCTCCCTAGATCCATGGACGGCAAACCGCGGCTCGCGAGCCACATGCAGCTCTTTGGCCCCTTGAGTGTGGCTCTTCCACAAATGCCACGGCCTGGGCGAGTCTATTTTGAAGAAGTGGCGTTAGAAGAAGTTTAAAAAACTTGGCTCTCAAAAGAAATTTCAATCTTTTGATATTTGGTTCTGTTGACTAATGACTGGCCTAGATGACAGCAGATCCTGCAGACCCAGGCTCTTCATCACAGGAGCCTGTCTGTGCCACAGAGAAGGGGTCCTGGCGGCGCTGCAGGCACTTACCCAGGTGCAGCGCCGTGTTCCCCAGCCCATCTCGCTGGTTGGGATCGGCGCCATGGTCCAGGAGCAGCTGCACTGGAAATGGGAAAACCCAGAGGAGCTGTCAGAGGCTCCCCTGGACCGGCCCTAACCCCACCCCTCACCTACCCTCAGAGTGGGTACGGAAACTAACATGGCCCTTTGTGGTTTCATTCATTCGCTCAGAGTTCATGTGCCGAATGCTGAGGGCCAGGAACTGAGCATTCCGGGAGGCCTCCTGCTCTATGCAGTGGTACAGGACTAGGATTTGGGGGAGAGGAGGGTCTTTTTTTTTTTATTGAATTTATTGGGGTGGCATTGGTTAATAAAATCATATAGGTTTCATGAGTACAATTCTCTAATACATCATCTGTATGTTGTGTGTTCTCCACCGCAAGGCAAGTCTTCCACCACCATTTATCACCCCCTTCCCTCTCCTAGCCCCCCTTTCCTTCTTGTAATCACCGCACTGCTGTCTGTGTCTGTGTGTGGCCTCTTCGTATCCTTAGTTGTAGGACTTCTGTTCATCTAGATTCTGGGAGGTTCTAAATGACGGTTGTTCTGTAGTTTGTGTTTTTGATGTGGTTGTGCGTAGTTGTGCATTTACCTACGTTGTCATCTCAACTGGAAGCCATGCTTTCAATTTTCATTTCCCTAGTGATTAATGATGTTTAATATGGTTTTTATGTTTTTTGATGATTTCAGTATCTTTAGTGATGTGCCTGCTCAAATCTTAACCTGGGTGGTGGTTACACCAGTGTAGACATACAGAGAGTTCGGTTCATACCTTACACCACACCCAGAAAAAGACTCCTAAAAGGGCTGTCCCGCTGCTGGGCTGGGCTCTGAGGAAATGGGGCCTGATGTCTTGAAGGACTGGCCCCAACCTCGGAGGCAATCTCAGTCTTTCCCCAGCTGAACCCCTTCCCTAGTCACAGGGCCAGGTCCCCAAGCTCGGAGAGGAGCGGGCACCGCCCGGCAGTGCAGACGGGTTTCCCCAGCACCCGGAGAGAGGCTACTGGTATTTCCACCCGCTCACTCCTCCCCCTCCGGGACTCACCAATCTGGTCATTGCCGTTGCAGGAGGCGAAGTGCAGAGCTGTGCGGCCCTTGTCATCCGCTGAACAGGGATCTGCCCCATCTTCCAGCAGCTGCTGCACTGGGACCACAAGACAGGGGAGAGGGGGAGTGAGTGTTAAACGATGCTCAGGCCCTTCCAGTAAGGCATGATCATGCATGGAGAGCTTGCCCCACGGGGACTACCCTCACGGGACTTGTTCTCCTGAGGGCACCACGGAGGGCAGACTCTGGGTGCTCAACCTACTTGTCTAGGGAGAGGACATCGTAGAAAGATCCTGGCCCTGAGTCAGGAGTTCTTGTCACAGAAACCCCAGTCCCGTGCCACTACCTGAATCAGATGCACACGACCCCAGCTGGCACGGCTGCCCAAGCTGCCGCTCGAGGCTCGCTTTGCTCCAGGAGGCAGCCTTCAGAGAGGTTCTGGAGCGCACAGACTAAACCCCAGGCTAAGCTAAGCTAGAAGAGAGGAAGACACTGCCGGTGGCACGGGCAGAGGGAAGAGCTGGGCTGGGAGTGAGAAGGCTGCTGTGGGCTCTGATCCACCACCAAATGGGAGCAATCTCTGCCCTGCCAACGCCAGGCTGCCGTGATGAGATAATGGACGTGATATTCCTTCCTCCAAAAGTATGGAGCCATTTTAAAGTGGAGGCATTAGCTATTAGATGTGCATTCCAACGAAAATGTGGAAATTGCTGCCAGACATCATTTTAGGGCAGCATTTTCGTCTGCCTCAGCAGACCTCTCAGGGACTGAGTCCTTCCTGACAAGGCCCAGATAGCTCCTCCGCCACGAATCCTTCCTGTCTCCTCAGCTGACTTAGCCAGTCCCTGTCCTGCTTCTCATGCTGTTCATCCTGCTGCTCGAACATTCTCCTGCTATTTTGGAGTAATTGCTGCTCTTCACTGAGCCCCAGCCTGGGGCCAGGTATCTGCCTGCCACGCCCCTCGGCCCCCCAGCAAGGTTCCCCTCCATTTTACAGACCAGGAGACTCAGCACAGAGCACGCGTGTTCAGGAGGACACGCTGGGATGTAACCCAGGCTTTTCTGCCTCCAGAACTAACATCTCTCCAACTGAACACATAACTTCGTTTTGGGGGGTTTTATCTTAGAAATGGTATTGCTTTAATAGTCTTCTTCTCCAAATATGTTGTAGGGGTTTGGTTTGGTTTATCTTAATATTACTTAGCTTGTTCAATGAATGTTGCTGGCTGAGTGAATAAGTGGATGAAGGAAAGGGTTTAGGGAGTGGAGGGGACAAAAGAGCTTCAGGCTATCTAGTGTTCATCAGTGCAATCACCGAAAGATAGCCATATCACAGAGACAGAAACCTAAGGTATCCAGTCCTATTTTGTGATTGGTGCAGCTATAGTCTTTGGAAAGCATTTTAGCAATATCTATCAGAAGACATCAAAACAGGCATACTCTTTGATGTAATAATCCCATACCTGGGAAATTATCTTAGAAATGAAATACCACCCTAACTGGTTTGGCTCAGCGGATAGAGCGTCAGCCTGCAGACTAAAGGGTCCCAAGTTCGATTCCAGTCAAGGGCATGTACCTTGGTTGCGGGCACATCCCCGGTAGGCGGTGTGAAGGAGACAACTGATCAATGTTTCTCTCTCATTGAGGTTTCTTTTTTTTTTTTTTTAACCCCTTTTCTTAGAAATTTTTTTTTAAATTATGTGTACATATTTTAACATCACCCCCCCTCCCTCCCCATACATACCCTCCCTCCCCAGAGTTTTGTGTCCATTGGTTGTACTTATACGCATGTATACAAGTCCTTCGGTTGATCTATTATCTCCCCCAGATTTTCCTCCCCTTCCCGCTGTAATTTGACAGTCTGCTTGTTGCTTTACTGTCTTTATATCTGTCTTTTGGTTCATCACGTTATAATGTTCTTTAATACCCATAAATGAGTGAGGTCATGTGGTATTTCTCTTTCATTGACTGGCTTATTTCACTCAGCATGATGTTCTCTAATTCTATCCAGGTTGCTGCAAATGATGAGAATTCCTTCTTTTTTATGGCAGCATAGTATTCCATTGTGTAGATGTACCATAGTTTTTGGATCCAATCCTCTGCTGACAGGCACCTAGGCTGTTTCCAAATTCTAGCTATTGTAGATTGTGCTGCTATGAACATAGGGGTGCATATATCCTTTCTGATTGGTGTTTCTAGTTTCTTGGGATATATTCCTAGGAGTGGGATTACTGGGTCAAATGGGAGTTCCATTTTCAGTTTTTTGAGGAAACTCCATACTGTTCTCCACAGTGGTTGCACCAGTCTGCATTCCACCAGCAGTGCACGAGGGTTCCTTTTTCTCAGCAACCCTGCCAACATTTGTCATTTGTTGATTTGTTGATGTTGGCTATTCTGACAGGTTTGCATCTCTCGGATAATTAGTGACTTTGAGCATGTTTTCATGTGCCTCTTGGCCTTCCTTCCGTCTTCTTTTGAAAATATTCTATTTAGCCAGGACCGGTTTGGCTCAGTGGATAGAGCGTCGGCCTGCGGATTGAAAGGTTCGATTCCGGTCAAGGGCATGAACCTTGGTTGCGGGCACATCCCCAGTAGGGGGTGTGCAAGAGGCAGCTGATCGATGATTCTCTCTCATCGATGTTTCTAGCTCTCCATCCCTTCTCTTTCTCTCTGTGAAAAATCAATAAAATATATTTTTTTTTAAAAGAAAATATTCTATTTAGGTCCATTGCCCATTTTTTAATTGGATCGTTCATTTTCCTTTTATTTAGTTGTATAAGCTGTCTATAGATGTTGGAGATTAAACCTTTATCAGTGATAACATTTGCAAATATGTTCTCCCATACAGTGGGCTTTCTTGTTGTTTTGTTGATGGTTTCTTTTGCTGTAAAAAAGTTTCTAATTCTCTATCACTCTCTCTTCCTCTCTGTAAAAAATCAATTAAAATATATTTTAAGCCTTAACTGGTTTGGCTCAGTAGATAGAGCTTCGGCCTGAAAACTGAAAGATCGCAGGTTCGATTCCGGTCAAGGGCATGTACCTTGGTTGCGGGTACATCCCCAGTGTGGGGTGTGCAAGAGGCAGCTGATAGATGATTCTCTCTCATTGATATTTCTGACTCTCTGTCCCTCTCTCTTTTCTCTGTAAAAAATCAATAAAATATATTTGAAATATATATATTAAAAATAATAATATGCAGAGAAAGAAAGAAAAATGTTAATCCTACAGCCAGTTTCACCATCAGAGTCCTGCAAGAGGCTGGTAAATCTGAGAGCCATTTAGATGTGAAGATGGTGTGTTAGAGGCACTGAATTACATCCTTTCTATCAAAATAAAAAAAGCACCACACACACACCTGATCCAGGTGAACCAGACGTGGTGCGCTCTCCCTCCCAGGAGGACACCTCTCGCAGGCGTGTTTCCTGTTCCCCTCTCCCCACTAAGCTCCAAGGCCCTTCTGTGCCTCCATAACCTGTTTCCTGAGCCCATTCTTCCACTGCTCACTGTTTCTGCCTCTGTGACTTTCTAGATAAACTTTCTCTTGTAGTTTGGGGGGGGAAAAAAAGATGAACTAGACTTTCTGTGGGAGGGAAGCATAATTAAAATATTCTTTGGTCATACACTAGAGATATTAAAAAGAAAGCTTGTCATTTATCCTTGAAAAGCTATCCAGGTTATTGCCTAAATATTCCAAACATATTAGATTGAGACCAAAGTGAAGAGAGTTGAAAAGCGCTCCAGTCTCCAGGCCCGCTCCCTCTGCGCTTCCAGGGACCAGGGCCATCCCCAGGCCGCGGTGCAGCCCCCCAGCTCCCAGGTAAATGGCCTCCCTCCGCACCTGCTGGACGTGGGCTTTCCTGCCCTTGGCCATGACCTATGCTCACACTGTATCTGTGACCACAGCAACCCACCACAACAGAACGATGTCCATACCAGGCAGACAAGGATCCGCTCCCGAACATGCCACGCCCGAGTCCCCAGAGTTTCTGGATGTCACTTTCCACACCACAAAGGGGCTTTGCAGACGAGATTAAGGTTAGGGGCCCTGAGCTAGGAACATTATCCCGGATTACTCAGGCCCAGTTTTATCCTGAGTCCTTGAAATCAGAGACCCTTTCCTGCGGTGAGATCACAGAGGTGGCCGTGCAAGCACTCAGTCCACTGCTGCTGAGCCCTGCAGCTGGGAAAGGCAGGAACAGACTCCCAGGCCTCCGGGGGGAAACCCAGCCCTGCAGACACCTGGATTCAGCCCGGGGACCTGTGTTGGCCTCTGACCCACGGAACTGTAGGATAACACATCTGTGTTGATTCAGACCACTGTGTTTGCGGTAATTTGTTACAGCAGCGGTAAGAACGAAGGGACCACTTCCCCCGATTCACAGGAAGGAATAAATCAGTGGATAAAATTAACTTTTTTCCTCTAATTTGCCCTTGAACCTTTGCTATTGTTACTGCCCTATCAGCTGGTGAACGCTAGAGAGCAATGACAGGAAAACCGGAGTGGTGTCCTGCGAGGAGCCGCCTATGCCTCCCAGATGTTCTGCCAGAAAGCAAGTGTGAGAACCACTGACCCAACTGCCGCAAAGCCTCGGCGAGCAGCTGAAGGTGCTGCTCTGTGCAGATGGTGGCTCTCCTGGCAGCTAACACCCACTGTCTGCTCCCCCAAAGTTCCTAACCTGCTGGGGGTCAGGGATACCGAAGCAGATGTGTCCCCACCACCAAGGAGCCCACGGGGCGATAAACGCTGACATCAGGAAGTTCCCGGTGACGGGGAAGCAGGGGGAGAGCGAGCACCGAAGCCAGACAAATCTTCTGTAAAGTGGCTGCAGCTAAACAGTAACTTCAGGAAGCAGGATCACAGGGTGAGCTGTCGGACGGGGTGAATTCAAGCACTGGCTTCCCTAACCGGCCCACGGAGCTGGATCCGCTTTGCACACTCACCTGTCTCCACATCGTTGGCATTGGCCGAGTCCCTCAGCCTCTTCAGAGCTGTGAAGAGAGGAAGAGGGTACCAGTAAGACACCAACAATCAGCAGCAGCCACAATGAAGCAGAAAGTGCACAGCTTCCTGGCTACCCACCACGCAGCTGCAGTAGCACCTAAGGAGACAGAGAGGAGCCAGGATACATGAGGCTACCCCGGGAACAAGGAGGCCGGGCACAGCTAGTGCCAAAGCCACATTCTGCAGCACTGGAGCAGCTGGGCGCCTTAGCAGGTTAGCTACCCTAGCACAGGTCTATCCCGGGCAACACAAGGCTGAGCTCCGTCCTGACAGCCGAGAGTTATTGCAAAGACAAAATGGGATGTTTCCATGGAAGCCCTCTGTGAACAGATGACACAGATAATCTTATATTAGGGGTGTCGAACTCAATCAGAGAAGGGGCCAAAATCTAAAATCCAGCCTAAATCGCGGGCCGAATGGTTTACTGAACAGTCATAAACTGTCATTGTGATGGAAACGCAGCAGAGTGCAGTGATGACAGCGCGGTGTGGGCCACATTGCAAGGCCTGGCGGGACGGATTTGGCCCGCGGGCCTTGTGTTTGACACATGTGTCTTATATCCTCCTTTAAAACAAGCCATTCCCAAATGCCTTACTTAAATTTGGTGATTTCTCCTACAATGACACTACCTCCATATTAGAGGCTAGTTGAAAGCAACGCCTTTGTCACCAGAAAACTGGTCAAATACGGCAGACACATCAGCGCAGAAGTTCGAGTCTGGCAGACCCGGGGTCTGATACCAGTTTCTGGCTATGTGCCTTGTGGGAAGGCACTTTCTCTGAGCCAGCTTCCTCTTCCATAAAACGGGATCAGTGTCTGGATCTCAATGAGAACTTACTGTGAGGATCAGAAATGATCACAACAGTGTTTGGTGCACAACAAAAGCAGAGTGACATCTATACATGCATTGCCTCGCTTAACTCTCCCAAAAACCCCTGTAAAGCAAGTGTCATACCCATTTTACAGATGAGAAAACTAAGGCTGAAAGGTCCTATAGTTTGCTTTAGGCAGAATGAAGCTGAGGCGTCCGATCGAGGTCTGCGCATTAAAACAAGCTGGTAGGATTTGGCTACAGGCTCTGGGCTCCCCCCTCGGACGGTAAAAGTAAAAGTAAAAGTATTCCGCGGTGGCCCCTGTTATTGCCTACCAACAAGCACCTGGAGTGGCGGAACGTTTCTATTCCGGAATTACCCAGTGCGAAGAGCCTGGGGGGGACTGGTTCTGAGCGGAAGGCTTTTTTCCCCTCTTTACGTTCATAGTCCATAGCAGTTGCTGGTGTACGTGGTAATTATTACTACTGAAAGGAGACCGAGTGTCAGTCACTCTGGGGTCATAGATCGGACGCCGGGGCGGGGAGGGGAGGGGACCGGGAGGCCTCCAGACTGACAGGGCCGGGCGAGGTCGGGGCCTGTTCCCGGGGAGGCCCGCCCGCCCCCCGCGCCCCCCGCGCTCTCACCGTGCACCTCCTTGCCCAGGGGTCCGAGGCGGCGGTGGGGCCTGGCGGCGCGCCGCAGCCGGCCGGCGGGGATCTTGCAGAGCAGCTCGTCGCGGGGCTCCGGGTCCTGCTGCCACAGGACGTGCAGGTAGCGCAGCGGAGACTGGGCCCCGCCGGACGCCCGGCTCGGGAGGCCCGCGCCGCCGCCCAGCGCGGACCCGAAGTCGGCGAAGGAGAAGAGGCCCTCGGGGCCCGTCAGCGGCTCCGGCGCCACCGCGCACTCGCCCTCCGAGCTGGAGCGGCCCGAGCGCGGCTCCTCGTCCGCGTCCCCGGCGGCGGCTGCCATGGCAACAGCTCCGCGCGGAGCCTCTTTCCGGACCGACTGACGACCGACCACTTCCCTCTCCCGAAGCCTCGCTGTCGGCGGGCGCGCGGGTGGGCCCGACCCGCAACCACGGCAACCGAGAGGCCCGGCTCGCGTAGCGGAGCGCTCCGAACCAATGAAAACCCTCCCAGCCTAAGCCCCGCCCTCCAGCCGGGCAATAGAATTGGCTTCCGGCAGTGTGACTGACGGACAGGGAAGCCAATCATAGTTTGGAAGGACCCACGTTCCAGCCCTACGTCGCTACACAAAAGCCAATAAAGTAGATTTAAAACACTATTTTTTTTCCATTTCCTCCATCGCAGCACGGGAAGATAACGGGCAGATGCTTTAACCAATCATATTAAGATGATCTGCAGCCAATCGCAAAGGAAAGTCAAGAAGCCAAACTTTAGGGAGAGGTAAATACGTATCTCTTTTAAATCAATGGACGTGGAAGAAAAAAAAAAAAGAATTTTCCACAATAGCGCAGGGTAAGTAGGAAAACGAAGGTAGGTTAAAACGTTGGCCTAACACCACGAACCAAGGAGTGATGGTTTCTAAATGCGATAAATTCCTTTATTCTGGATTCTCTCAGTAACCTCAGTGTTGATCATTGATGTACAAAGAATTTTAATTCAACTTGGTTACACCGGAACGACGCTTCAGTCCGAGAACCGGTCCCTGAGTCAGGTGACTGTTCTGGACACAGGATCAGACTCCATTCCCGCTGACATCCAGTCCTATGGGAGAAGTCAGAGCTGGAAAGAGGAAAATATTCCGCAAACAGGTGATGAGTTTAGCAACAGTGCAACTCGGTGCATTGTTTTGTAAGAGTTTTCACACCTGAGGAAGGAGTGAAGATAAGGGATATAGAAAATGGAGTCACTTTAACCAAGCTGCTAAAATTATTAACATTATGAAGGTTGAGGCGTGAGGAAAGACTGTTCTTGTTCTAACTAGCCTGGTAACTTATTCTTTTAACTTTCCAGTCCTGTGTTAATGCCTGATCATACATCTGGACATACTCCAGACCTCCATAGAACAGCTAGCAAAGCCCAGGGCACCCCTGCTAGAAGCCCCACCTGAGTGTATCCAACAGGAGAGGGAATTCCTCAGAGATCAACCTGGGTTCTGGATGGCTGGAAGTCCTCAGTGCCCGCCCGGAGAGGCAGCCATTATGATCATTACTTCACAGACACTAGACTGGAGCTCGGAGGGCTCCCCCAGTTGCCAGGGTGACAGAGCCTCCTCCCTCTGACTGCTGTCTAATGGAGGTCTGATTACCCCCTTCCCCGGGACTCGTGTATCCAGACTTTCTGACATCTCCTGGACCAATCCCAGGGCTAAGAAGGCAGGGCGGCTAATTCTCAAGAATGTATAATACTTTTTACTATAAGAACTTTTCTTTCTTCTCTGGAACACTGCTGGGTTTTTGCCTAGGTCTGTTTCCAGTTTGTATATTCTAAGATCCTCGAATAAATATTTGTCTTCATTTCTAGTCAAAGCCTCCAGAGTCTTCTCAAGTTCATTCAACATACCCACAAACCTTTCTGTAAGGTGGGCAAAGAGGACCATCCCCATTTTATAGGTGAGGAGCTGAAACCAGAGAGAGAAAGGAATTGTTCATCGACGTCCAGCTTCCTTGGGACTAGGGCTGTGTCCAGCAACGTGCTTTCCTCTGACTCAGCCCAGTGAAATGTACAGTGCTCTCAGCACCATTGTGAGGCCCACCACTGTACATTTAAAGGAAGATGTTCTTTGAACTCCTCTGCCCCCTGACTGATAAGGACATGTGCCAACTCCACTTGTGGCTAGAGGAAAACAAAGGAAAGAAATAGACATTGAACATGTACCACTTACCAAGTGCTTTATTATATTATACCATTTAGTTCTCCCTCCCTAGGGCATGAGAAGGCAGATATTATTAGACCCACTTGCAAATCAGTAAATTAAGGTCCTGAGATTTATGAATTGCCCAAGGGAACAAGGCTAGAATGTTGAAGAACTGGGATTTGAACCTTGAAAAGTGTTCTCCATCATACTACCTTTAAAAACAAACAAACAAACAAAAACTACCCTGTTTCCCTGAAAATAAGACAGTCTCCTCTTATATTAATTTTTTTCTCTCAAAGTTGCGCTAGGTCTTATTTTCAGGGGATGGCTTATCTTTCCATGCGCTAGGTCTTATTTTCAGAGGATGTCTTATTTTCGGGGAAACACGGTAGTAACTCTGCGCACGAAGACATGCAACAGTAGCTCTCTATGGGGCCTGGCTGCTCCATGCCCGCTGCCCAGAGGCTCTCTGTGGCCCAGAGGCCCATCTGCACCCCAGTCTGGCCAGAGGCCCTTGGCTGGGTTGGAAAGATTGCCCTGTCACCTCAGCAACGAAGCAAGAATTCTGCCAGGCTGCTCACACTGCCCACTCTCAGAGCCTGCCCTCCCTCTGGCAGGGCTGAGAGGACTGGGCACCACCATCTTGTGGTTATGGGCGTTGCCATATTTGTGACGGAGTGACGGATGATTTGCATATTACTCTTCTATTAGATAGGATGAAGAGCCTGCTGGAAACTTGCTTAAACCAAAGAGTATAAGGGGCATCTGGGTATTTAAGCCTCATGCTTGCTGAATGTACCCTGAAATAACTATTATTCATCCCTCCTAGCCCAGCTGGTTGGCTTTCTTTTCATTCTTTCCATCATCCTGTTGGCCTTTACAGTATTTTAGAGTAATTTGAACTGGTTGCCAACATATAAAAATTGAGAGCTTTCACATAACATTTTTGATTTCCAGATTCTCTTTAAAATGAGAAAGTATGGCCATGTAGGACCAGCTCTCCCACAGGACAGCAGTTGGTCGGAGCTGCACAGTGACTTTCCCCTTCGGATGGGAGTGGTGTTCTGGTTTGCCGCAGTCCCCCCTGCTCTCTGTTACCTCCCCACGGAGGCCTAAAGGCATCTGTCCCTTTTTGTCCTACTTGGGCTATTGTTTTTCCTATGTAGCGTGAAAAGGAAATTAATATATTTCTTGTCTTTATGAAACATGGAATAATGAAAATGTGTGTAGGGAAATTGTCTAGTATCTGAAAATATGATGTGGTGATTATGTGACTTTTTCATATGCTGGAGAGTTTCTTTAAAAAAAAATTTTTTTTATTTATTTCAGAGAGGAAGGGGAAGAGATAGAAACATCAATGAGAAACATCAATTGGTTGTCTCCTCCGCACCCCCTCCTGAGGCTCTAGTCCACAGTCCAGGCATGCGCCATGATGGGGAATCAAACCAGCGACTTGTTGGTTTATAGGTCAGTGCTCAACCACTGGGCCACACCAGCCGGGCTAGGCTGATGATTTTTGACAAATATATATATATATATTTTCATGTGACAACCACCCTAATCAAGAACATGACAGCTGTATTTTTAGCGATTTGAGAACTGTTATTTTAGGCTACAGAGACAGGGCCCTGTATTTTCAGAAAAGTAATTGAATATTTATTTATGGGCAAGAACAATATTCTTCCATGTCAATGTTGATAGAAAGGATACAACCTCTCTGGCTAGGTTACTTGGTTGGTTGGAGTGTTGTCTTGTGCACCATAAGGTGGAGGGTTCGATTCCCATTCGGGAGCATGTTTCTCTCCTGCCCGCCTTCCTTTCTCTCTCAAATCAGTGAGCATATCCTTGGTTGAGGATTAAACAAAGAAAAGAAAAAAGGGATACAACTAACGTGGTCAGGAAAAAGCTTGCTACTTCACTGTTTTTCTCCTCTCTAGTGGCCTCCTATACCAGAAGATCCTTAAGGATGCTTCTAGTTCTGATTTATAAAGACTGAGCTTCTGCCGAAACCAGTTTGGCTCAGTTGATGGAGCGTCAGCCTGCGGACTGAAAGGTCCCAGGTTCGATTCTGATCAAGGGCATGTACCTTGTTTACAGGCCCATCCCCAGTGGGGAGTTGTGCAGGAGGCAGCTGATCAATGTTTCTCTTCCATCAATGTTTCTAACTCTCTATCCCTCTCCCTTCCTCTCTGTAAAAAATCAATTCAATAAATTAAAAAAAAAAAAAAAAAAAAAGACCGAGCTTCTGCTCTCCCAGAGCTCACATGCTATTGCAGGAAAGGAGGGGAGAGAGGGCTTGTGAGATAGACCATGCTCAGGAGAGGGAGACAAACAGGACAGTGAGGGAACTACAAACACGAGGTTCCTGGGAAGTGAAGCTTGAAATGAACCCAGCGGAAGAGCCCAGGCCGGCAGTAAAATATAACTAATGGCTTCTCTGAGTCAGAGAGCTTCCTGCCTCAAATCCCAGGCAAGAGATGAAGAGAATCAGGGCAGTTTTTTAGCCGCTAAATTCTCTCAGCAACTCCCCCAGGTAAAATTCCAAGAGCGTTTGCTCTGTCTGTTGGAAGTTTCTTCCCTTTGAAGATTTGAAGAACTGTGTTTCCATTAGCAAGGGAGCCTTGCAAAATTGCCCTGTTTTCAGAAATGTCCTCGCCTGTAATGGAGCTCCAGCTGTTTTCAGATCAAAGTTGCATTTCTGAGCAGACTCCATGTGCTGCCACGCAATGGCCTGTTTCCACTCAAAGCAATTCTGCAAGTGCGGATTGAAAACTGGAAGCAGGACAGTGAGGTAGCTGTTACAATACAAGAGAGAAGATGGAGGCTGGGATAAGGATAGCGACACTGGTGGTGAGAATTGAGCCTGGGAAGATTTTGAAGATAGAGCCGACAAAATGCATCAAGTGTAAGAGAGTCAAGTCAAGGGTGGTTCTGCAGGCTGTGGCCTGAGCAAGTAAAAGAATGAAGTTGCCCTTAACTAGGATGGGGGAACTGTGGGAGGAACAAGGTTGGGGTAGAAAATCAGAAGCTCCGTTTGGACATGTTAAGTTTGAGGTGCCAGTTAGACTTCCAGATACTTACTTGGGCTATGAGTCCACTCCAGGGGTAGGTCCAGGGTGGAGTTATGTGGGGAGTCAACAGCACCTGGGTGATCTTTAAACCCAGTGGACTGGATAAGCCACCGAGGAGTGAAGGTAATCGATCAAGAAGAGACCAACCCCAGAATGAAGGGGCGGTCTACTATTTAGTGATTAGAAAGATGAGGACGAATCAACAAAGGAAAGGGAGAAAGTGTAG